AAAAAAGGAAAAAAAAGGGCTCCATTTCTGAGGGAAGCCTGATCTTAGCTTCCTTATAATACCCATTGGTGGTCTCAACATCATAAAAATTACAGAATTCAAGGCTTAAGGGAAATTATGGGCAAGCTATTTTAATATACCGACCCAACTGCATAGAAGCTCACACTTAGCAGACGAAAGACCAGCATCCTGAGTGCCACCATTCAGCTCCGTTAAAACCCAGCACAGTCCATCAGGTCACTGTTCTCAGTGTCACCTCCAAAGGATGCTGACATAAAAGAGAATCTTACCTGTTCATTCTCCTCTTCATCACTGCTTAGCTTAAGGTCATCTTCCAGCATTCTGAAAGAAGGTACAAAGAGGTACAGATAGTTAGTGGATTCAGAATAATTCAGCATCAAAATATCACCTTAATGTTGCTAATAGAGCAACATTTCGGAAATAAGTCTATTTGATTTCCTATTTTTTTCTTTCCTTTTTATGCACTTCTCCTCTGGTGCACTTAGGAAATAGCAGATAGTCCCATCACAAAAATTAACCCTCACAACAGTCATCACCTAAGACGGGCAGCTTTCAGAAGATGCTGTGTTAGCAGGGAAATAATACTTAACAATAACATATTGTATATTTCAAAATAGCTAGAAGAGAAGAATTGGAATGTTCCCAACAGGAAGAAAAGATAAATATTTGAGGTGACAAATATCCTAGTTACCCTGATTTGATCATTACACATTGAATACCTGTATCAAAATACCACACATTCCTGAAAATAGCAATAAAAAAGAAGATGCTTTTTTTTCTTTCTCCCAAATACATAGGGGCTTTTCCCCTGGGCAGTTTGCATTCCACAATTACTTGTTTAGTGTTTTCCAAGCTCCCAGTAATGGGCTGTGTCTCCATGCCTGCCCCAGGGGCTTTCATGGTAAAGAGAGAAGAGAACAAGAGCCATAAAGCCATAAACTTGAGTTGTGAGCGAAGCTTCTCAGGCCATCCATCAGTCAAAGAGCTGGAAAAGATGTTGTCCCCCAGATCCTATCTAGTGGGGAAACCAAGCAGGAGGGCACTTTCAGAAAAGCCTGTGAAGGTGATTCCCCAGCCACCCAGATCCCCCCATTCATCCTGAAGAGACAGCGGGGAAGCATGAGGTTAAAAGCGAAAAAAAGAAACACAACTTCAGACTCTGTTATTTGTGATGATAACACTGTATTCTTTTCAGCATGGCTAAATTGTTTCTTTATAGAATAGTAGTTTTCAGATTAATTCACTTCAAAAGAAATCTTACTCAGAAGTGCACTGTATAAAAGCGTGCTCTCCACGCAGACACGCTCTGAGGGAGCAGGGGAGAGCCCGCTTCTGAGGGACCCTGGGGCTCCACACATCAGTGCGAAGGCCGCTGAGCCCTTGTGCTCAAAGGCCTCATTGAAGCCAGCTTCCAAAGGCTGTCCCCTAAAATGTACCCGGTGTCCTTTAAAAGCCAGTTGTAGGCCCATCACTGATACATGCCACTGAACATTCGTAGAAGTCATTTCAGTCACTTTTGGGGCAAACTAGGGGGTAAAGAACTGGCAGGATAAGGCATGGCCCAGGCTCTGCCGCACCTGTCTATGCATTTGGGGCGAGTCGCTTCATGCACCCTGCCCCCATTTCCCTATTTGTGAAGTGACGGGTTATAGAGGGCAATCCTAAGGTCGAATGCTGCTTTAGATGCCGTCGCTTTAGATTCCGTCGTGAGTCTACAAAATAAATATGCTCCCCAGTTTCGTCAAGTACAAAAACCCTTCTATTTGTTCTAGAGAACACAACGGAGAAACTTCTAAGTAGTTTTTGGGGTATGATTTAAGGCATTGCCATCAGGGCATCAAATCTGCTTCCTCACAGGCTCCTGCTCATCTCCCCGTGCTGAGAGGTGTCGTTCTTACAAATGAACACGTCAGCAGAGGCTGTAGAGCGGCACCCCCCAATTCCTCTGCACGTCTGGCATGCCATTCATTTCCTTCACCTCCCAGACACATAGGCTTGGCTTCAAAGAGAAGAGAACTCTTGGTGATTTATTAGAGCATTGTTTGGGAGCAGCCTGGGGAAGCCGGCCGTGTTTCCTTTGTCCTTGAGTCCCCAGTGACGAGCACAGGGCAGCACAGAGCACAATACCAGTTTGCTGGCTGGGCTGAGGCGCCATCCCAAGACCATTTTCCTACCCAAAGGCACAGATTTCTCCCTAATGAAAAAGACCAGAGAAGGGGACAGGTCCTTGCGTCCACTGCCATGCCCTCTTTTGGGTCAACCATCACTGCAGTGTGGTTTAATCTCTAGGACTGTCCAGCAAGCGCTGGGTCTTTTAAAGGAGGGTAGTCCACCTGGTGGGGGTGGAAAGAGTGGGGAGCACTCACATAATCATGGTTAATAACCCCCTTGCTGTCAGACGGAAGCTGTGTGGCTGGGAAATTTAATGTTTAAGTGCACAATAGTGTGCACGGATTGGAAGGCCATCATTCCCCCAAGCAGGAAGGCCCAACATGCCCCAAAGTGAGGGTGCTTAGGCTGGCTGCAAACTAGCCGTGCAACTCAGTCACCACATGAGGCTGGCATGGCTGAAAGTCACCACAACAGTCAAAAGGCTTTGGGAGGCTCTCTTTCAAGGTAGGGAATGCAGCTTACTTTTGTTTATTTCAAACATATGCTAAACGTATCCACACACAGACACGCGTCTGTGTGAATCTCAGAGTCCCCTGCGCCACGATCTCGTGTGAGGTGCGCCTCTGGGGCTAAGCATTTGTGCTTCTGTAAAGAGACTCATCTATCTCATCACCATTTCCAGAAGAAAAGCAGTCAGAGATCAACCTTGCTTTGTGGATCATCATCACTCTGTCGCTGACTTTACCTCTCTTATATTAAAAAAATGAATTGATTGTGTTTCTGGCTGGGTTCTGAAAACAACAAATCACAGGTAAAAATACTCTGCCTTCAAGAGAGACTTCAAATCTAATTAAACTTCAGAATACCTCGAAATATGAGAAACTGGCCGTGGAAACACAAAATCACACAGCTGATACAACATTCCCAGAGCAACCCTGGGTGGTGCTATTCTCAAAACACGAAATCACAGACCTGGGAAAGATGACCATGGCCCCGCCGCATCCCAGCCCCGATAGGCACAGAGGCACACCCCGAGGAGACCCGGGCTCCCCGCAGACTGAAAGCAGGAACGCTCTGCTTTATTCTTTTTTCTTTTTTCTTTTGAGATGGAGTCTTGCTCTGTCACCTAGGCTGGAGTGCAGTGGTGCCCCGATCTCAGCTCACTGCAAGCTCCGCCTCCCGGGTTCACGCCGTTCTCCCGCCTCAGCCTCCTTAGTAACTGGGACTACAGGCGTGGCCGCCACCACGCCCGGCTAATTTTTTTTTTTTTTTTTTTGTATTTTTAGTAGAGACGGGGTTTCACCACGTTAGCCAGGATGGTCTCGATCTCCTGACCTCGTGATCCGCCCGCCTTGGCCTCCCAAAGTGCTGGGATTACAGGCGTGAGCCACCATGCCCGGCCCCTCTGCTTTATTCTGATGGTCATGAGCAGGCCCTCGGCTCAACTCCTAGCAAACGGCGCTTGTTCCTGTCCATGACCACTGCATCTTCAAGTCCGGGTTAACATTCACAAACAACTCCATGTTTAATGCTGAACACATCCAAGTGGCCTCTCAGAGAGCCTACGGAGGGGCTGAAGTTCACAGCTGAACAATGAAACATGCTTAGGAGAAGAGAAAACCTGTGACACCCACAGGATCATAGGAACTGTCTGTACTTGGTGTTCGGCCAGCAGATAGCAGGCACGGCTGCCTTCACCAAACACACAGATGGCATTGTGGTGGTCATGGGCCTGGCCCACTCCCAAACCCTGGGGAACATTTTTTATCATTTGTGTTTCCAAAAGGAAACAGATAGGCATAGGTATACCAAACAATAAACAAACAGAAGTGTTCAACTAGGAGTAAAAGGAAGATGCAAATTAAGTACTGGTTAGGCTACTGGGCAGGGGTGGAGATCTCCCATTTTTTTTTTTTTTAAAGGGAAGGCAAAGACCCTGCTGCTCTAAGGGGCCCCTGAGGGCTAAGTCATCTGCATGGAAGGACTGGTCATCTGCATGGAAGCACAGGGCCTGTGGGTCCATCCACAGCACCCTGGCTGCGCCCCTACTCCTGGGTTCCTCCAGGCCCTACCCCAGGTGATGGGGCCCCCACCCAGGGCCACCCCTTTCACATTCTCTTAGCCCCTCCCCTTCATAGCCCTTCAGATCCCTCCCAGGGGATGGAGCCCTCGATTCACAGCAGCAGCTCTCATTGCTTAAGGGATGTCCCTCCATGCCAGACCAGCTAAGCGCTTTCTAGATGCTACTTTGTCAATCCCTACAGCAACTCCTCCAAGGTGGGAGGTGGGCGCTACAGGGAGCTGCGGACTGTGCTGGTCACAGCAGGGACTCCAGGGTCACACTGCCCAGGACGAATGCTAGCTCTGCCTTTCATCTAGCCCAGAGCCCTGGGACCTGCCTCAGAGGGCTTCCCGGAGAACTTACTCCACAATCCTTGGATAGTGCTAAGCGTGGGACCTTACACCAGGGAGCCTCCAATCAATGCTCGTTTCTACCAATATTCCCTTTTCCCTAGGAGGGAAGTGGGCCTCAGAGCGTTTAAGAAACGTATGTGGATAAACAAGTTGAGAGACTCTGAGATGTCTTTGTAATGATGCCTTAAAACAGAGCCATTGGCTCTACTTTCAGGCCGTTTTGAAAAGAAAGGGTGGAGAGATGGTGGAGGGAATATATTTTGGCCTGTAACTGCTGTCAGCTGGTCTGAGTGGCTTTATGTCGACACGACAGAAAGCATGCCCATCAGCCCCAGTGCCCGGGGAGGTCCGCTCTGGGAGCCAGCAGGTGGCCACGAGGCCAGGAGTTCCTCCACGAGGAGTCAAGAAGGCGTTGCCAGATGACAATGGGGAAGCTGAAATAAAATAGGTACTAAAATTGAACTTTTTGGCCGGGCGCAGTGGCTTGCTCCTGTAATCCCAGCATTTTGGGAGGCCGAGGCTGGTGGATCATGGAGCCCAAGAGTTCGAGACCAGCCTGGGGAATATGGCAAAATCCTGTCTCTATAAAAAAATATAAAAATTAGATAGGCACGGTCCTATGGACCTGTAAGTCCAGATACTAGGGAGGCTGAGGTAGGAGGATCACCTGCGTCTTGGAGGTTGAGGCTACAGTAAGCCGAGATTGTACCACTGCACTCCAGCCTGGGCATGAGACCCTGTCTCAAAAAAAAAAAAAAAAAAAAATTGAACTTTTTGAATTGAGAGCAGAGGTG